CAATAATGTTGCGCCCTGGTCCCATCCCCTATATCACTTCTTGGAACCAACGTGCCACGCTTACTGCGACGCGTGCTATGAATTTCGTGACAGACAGACGGACGCACACACACACACACACACACACACACTGACAGACATACTTAGTGAATTATATATAGTAGGACCAGTCGGATCGCCCGGCTTACGCCGAGCTCTCCTCCTTCTCTTTAGCCCGGCTTCGCCGGGCTGGCCTCAGTTTATGATGGAAAAGGAATTTGTTCATTCACTGAGCTGCTCATTTTGAGCTGTATTTAACGAATCGTAACAGATAGAGCAACCCAGCGGATTCTGCACTCCTGAGTCCAGTGTTATTGTTGTAGAAGGGGTGGTGTTATGGACAAATCTCGCTTCCTATCTGCATCGGAACGCCTATACCGATCAGCGCTTTCCTTTTCTATTATGCAATCCATTCGATTAACATCTGTGCTCGCCTTTTGCCGGTGTCTGGAGTCTGTCCTAGAACCATTTTACAGATTTCTGTAAAATGATTGGCCCACCTCCGCCCACCTCACTACGCGCTCCGTCTACAACGGATGTGTCCCGCATCCACCGGTGATACCTCCCACTATCACTTTTAAGCAGTGTCTGGAGTGGAACAGTTCACAGGGTTTTCCCTGTCTCCGCCCACATCGGGACAGGCGCCGCCCGGAACATGTGTCTCACATTTCTTAACCGGCGACCTCAGAGTGGTCTCCTCCCACAACGTGTGTGCCCCACATTCAATTGTGACCATTTGCTGACCCTGATCGACTTTTTTCTTGTCTTTTGAGTGCACCGGCACCATTTTACAGAATATTTTCGTCGGGCTCCGCCCACAACGTGTGTGTCCCATAGTGCCTATCGGCGACCCTTTGCTGAGCTTAATCTACTTCTTTTCCGCTTTCTGGAGTGTTCTGGAACCAAGCTACAAATTTTTGCAATGGGCATGATTATGCTATGATTGAGGGCAAGCTCCGCCCACTGTGGGCGGGTCTCAACACCCCAGGCATTCAAAACTCTCCCCAGGGGTTGCCCTCCTACACCGACATTTGCGATTTCTAAACTCTTTCGGGAACCGAGTTAATGGATTTTGTGGGAAGCGCCGCCTATCTCGAGTACGCCCCGCCCGTTTCGGGTATGTCTCCACTAATTAGTCTGACAACCCCTTGCCAATCTTACATGAGTCCACTTTATCCCCATCTCTAGGCTGCTTGGAAGAGAGTTGTGAGTTTTTTTCTGCGGCACCGCCAACTTTCGGCGCATGCCCCGCCCACTGTGGGCGGGGCTTCGCATAGGTCATGTGTGCTCTTTACATCTTGTCCCATGCTCTACCCATCCCCACCTTGACCCGACCTCTCCAAGTCGTTCAGGTCGAACCGAATTTCAGACAGACAAACAAACAAACAAACAAACGTAGCAAATTATATATAGTGGGTGATAACGAATATAATTAGACCAACATGGATAGTACTATAGATGGACTTACTCTTTTCGGAAAGAAAAATGATTTCTCTAACTTCATCTGTTTTTTTTGCAGCCTGAGTGGAGTCTTAATAGAAGATTGTAAGAACTCTTCATCACAGCTGTGGACCGGAGACGATAGCGCTGGAGGGTGAGATTAGCTTTTTCTTTGACTAGCGGAATCTTTGTGTTTTTCCATAACCCATTTTCCAAAAGTTTATTTTCGTTTCAAATTTCAGGAGCGCTGGATTTTTCTATTTTGTAAATGTTGCCGCTTTGGTTTTCGTGCTCATGATCACCTTTGTTTATGTTGTATTTTGGGAATTGTATCAATCAGAAAAGCGAATCGCACTTGGGGTGAAGTTTCTTAGTTCTTTTAAAAATTCTGATATGTCCGACCAGAGCACATCCTCATTGAAGAGTTCTCAGCAAGGGGAGGGGCCGTGTTCCAATTTTCGAAAGGAAATGCGGTATTGCTTGGGAGTTTGCACTTCTGGTAGTTCTTGATAACTAACAGCTCTCATTTTACTGAAATTTGTAAACTCTTTTGGAGCTGCGAAATGGTCAATAGCCAATCGGTCTACAAGGGAGCCACAGTCCTGGACAAGATGGCTGATTAATGAACTATATTGTAAAATCTAATAAATGAGAATTATTATGGGGTCGCATTTTACCCGTTGATTATCCTGTTTGCAATGTGATTGATCGGACATCATTCCGATGCTATCCCCCACCGCGCCTACCCTCGCCCCACACCTTCGCTTAGAGGATGTGGGAAATCGCACTTTGAAATGACGTGTTGTTGATAGGACACACTCTTACAGACTGTTCATTGATCAGTATTATACTTCAGGACTTGTTTCTCACCGCACTGTTCTTTATTCTCTTCTTTTTCTGCTCCGCCACTTGGTGGGCCGGATCGAACACATTGGGCTATGCCACCAGGTAGCTGAACTTTAATTTTACCATTCCTTACATCATTGTTTGTTTTTAGTGATTTTTACTGATCCAGTGATTGGCTATTTATTTGAATTAATTTTTGTGTTAGTGTCATTTTTTGTTTACAAGTACTTTATATCCTACTCACTATTTGTTTATATTTTTTATTTTTTGTTCTGTTTTTTGTTGATACTGGATGTTTCAAGCTGCGAGGTTTGCACTATAATTATCAGTTTCACTATTTTTTTGTTTGAATAATTTAGTGAGGAACGCATAAGCGAGCTGATGAACTCAAGCGATTCATTTTGGAAGTCGAACGCAGTAAACAATAGTTTGTCCTTAGCAAGAGACACCAGCAATGGAAAGCTTACGATTTCTGTGGTGAGTTCAGCAGATATTTTCAACATGGAGAGAAGCAACTATTAATAGCTATGATATTACTGCGCTGAACACGCCACACACTTATTGCTTATCTGAAATCGTTTGAATGATTGGATGCACTGTTCTGCGCTGTCGGCACCTATTGCGTGATCGCCAAAGTATGAAGGATGGGTGGTTTGCTTCGACCGAGACTCCTCGGACGCTGCGCTTACTGGGCAGGCGTGCCACCCATTGCAGCGTGGAGGTCACATGTTCCCCAGCTTAATGTGTTATTTGCTGTGTGTTCTATGATCACCACTGGATGTTAGGTATGCTCCAACTCCGTGTGGCTAATAGAAAACAGCCCATCTAGGGGGAACGGTACGGTGAGGCCCTGAAAGCCCCAGGTGACGTTCGAAATAGAGGTCGATCCCAGGGGCACGCCCTGACGTTGGGGAAAAATTTTGCAGACCCTCAAAATTCCCTCTTCTGCGACGACCTTCCTTGCCTTCCAAACTGCTATTCCACCTACTAGTTCCTAAACTTTCCGAACTTCCTCCATTTTTCCCGACTTCAATGCGGTTTTTTTCAGGAAAGTCCTCCTACTCTCTCCATAAAACCGCGGTCGAGCGGAGGGATCTAGAGGGGAGGGGGGGGGGGGGAAGGAGCGGAATAGGCGTATCACCTGTATCACCTGTGCTCCCGTTGATCATCGAGTTCCTCGAGCGGGCGCCAGTAACGTCTCCATTCGTCCCTGCAACGTGCAAGAGTTGCCCAATGAACTCTCTCTGCTCGAGGGACACGATGAACTTCATACCATTCGTTCAGAGCTTTCACGAAGAAGTCTGACCATCGCATAGGCGGTCGTCCAGCAGTTCCGCTGACTCCCGTGGAATCGCACTTCGGTAATCGGCTCTGCGTCCAGCGGTAGTCTCTCGAATCACATGGCGTGTCGGCGGCCTACCGTGATGCTTCGAACCCTGACAAATGCGGGCGGGCGGTCTCTGATCTTCGATCGTCGGTGGAGTGCGGAGCTCCGGATTCCCTCTCTCAATTGCGTGTAGCGGGAAACTCCGAGCATCGCCCTTTCAATGGCGCGTTGAATAACGCCAACCGCATGTTCATCCTGCTTTCGTAGAGTCCAAGTCTCTGAGGCGTACGTCAAGGCAGGAAGGACCGCGGAATCGAAGAGGTGGGCACGGAGCTTGGTGTTCTTCGTCTTCTTCGCTACTCCCTCGATGTTCTTGAAGGCTCCCCAAGCCGCTCGCTTCCTCCTGCTCAGCTCTGGTGCTAACATAAGTCG